GTGTCTTCAACTCCTGAGATTCTCTCTTCCATCTCTTGTATTCTGTTGGTTATTCTTACATCTGTAGTTCCTGATCACTTACCCAGCTTTTCTATTTCCAGCATTCCCTCAGATTGTGCTTTCTTTATTGTCTCTATTTCAGTTTTTAGGTCTTGAACTGTTTCCTTGAGAGATTTGTTGATAACTTGTATTTTTTTGGTTTGTTTTTTCTTCCATTTCTTTAAGGAATTTTCTCATGTCCTCTATGAGGTCCTCTATCATTTTTCTGAAGATGTTTTTAAGGTCATTTTCTTCTGGTTCAACTGTGTTATGATGTTCAGGTCTTGCTGGTGTATGGATCCTATTCTCTGGAGGTGTCATATTGAGTTTTTTGTTGTTGAATGTGCTTTTACCTTGTCCTCTTCTCATCCTTTCTTCTGTTGGGTGTAGCAAGAGTTTCTTGCTCTCCTGGTGGGTATGGGACCAAGGTTCTCTTCTGGTAGATGCAAACAGATCCAATACTCTGATGTCTGTGCTTGTCTCTTGGATGGAGGTGTCACTGTTACTGGGGCGTCGGCAGTGTTCAGGTGTGTTGGGTCGCTCTGGGCGGGCGGATGGAGATAGAACTGCCACTGGGTGCTCAGTGTGTTGGATCCTGCCGAGGAATTTGGTCCAGCCTGCAGATCACTCTTGTCAGATGACTCTGAGCAGTGAGGACAGATGGGAACTGGCGACCGGAAACACTCCCTGGCCTACCTGGGCCATCGGATGGAGGCAGAGCTGCCACCGGCCTCGGTGTGTCGGATCCCGGATCCCGCTGCGGAATTTGGTCTGGCGTGCAGATGGCTGTGTGAGATCAACCCTGTTTCTCTTTATCTACCTTTTGCCTCAGGACTTCTTACTTTTCTTTCCTTCTGCATATCTTGCTTTCACTGCCTCTCTCTGCCTACCAGCCCCACCTATCCTTTCTCTGCCGAGCTACTGGTCATTCAGCTCTTTATTAGACAAAGCAGGTGCCTTAGGCAGGCAAGGTGAAACAAATGCAACACATCTTTACAGAATTAAACACACATCCTTACATCATTAAACAAATGCAGTAACACACCTTTACACAGTTAAAGTATATTCTACAGCATTAACAAATGTAACAATCTTTGCCTAGTTAAAATAATACTCCACAGCACCTGGGTGTGATTCTTTCTTATTTTCCTATGTTCTCTGGCTGTGGAGCATTGCAGCCTTGGCCTATGTCCCTATGTCCTCACATTCACAGGGTTTTGTGTACGCTGGGTTAGGACTGTACCACAGAACCATGGCCTTCCTCCATTCTCTTTACACACTTAGGACTTTTCTGTTAGCCCTCCAGGCAGTTCAGGGGGCTGTGTCAGTTATTCAGACTGAAAGACTAAAGAAGGCAGGCACTGCCTGCTCTGATGTCATGTGAGCATCCTCAATGCCCTCTATTCTGTAAATCTGAGTTAACATCTATATCATAAGTTACAACTTCTTGGAATTTCAAATGCTGGCACTAGGATAGTGAAAAGGGCTTGAAAAAGATCAAGAGCTCAAGACCAACCTGGGCTACATAGGGAGACTCCCCCGACCCCATCTCCAAAATCAAAGAAACAAACAGAAGAATTTTCTAGAATGCCAGGAAACAGGGAGGACATATGGTCCTTACAAGAGTAAAAGAGGGAAAGGAAGGGTGACGCTGCCAGGTCCAGCTTTTAGAGGAGCGGTGCTATAACAACCTTGCTTTACAGGACCCCACGTTAAAACCGCCTGATCAGTACCCCTTCCCTGACACCTTAACTGGGACTTGCTCCTCCACCAGGGCCACACAGTGCAGCAGCTGACACATTTGTACAATGACTGAGTTATTCACAGCAAGTTCCAGAAGGGGTCATGGGGCCCAACACTGTTCTGAGAGCTTTTGGGTGGTGTTTGGCTTAGCTTGGTGCTGGAAACTAACATCTGAAGATTTGCCAAGCTGCTGACCAGACAATTATGCCACAGCAAGGCTGGGAGAAGTGACTATTTAAACAAACAGAGTTGAGAAAAGCAGAGTCCAGATGGAGCCACACCTATTATTCCTTCAGCTTTCATGGGCTGGGCTGTGACCCTGAGTGAGCCTCCAGTTTCCTGTCTGTGACCCTGGCCTTCCTAGCAGAGAGGTCAAGGGCCAATGAGGCAAGGCAGAACCTCCAGTGCCCGTGGTGTTCCTTTGGCAGGCGGGGCTTACCCCTTGGGGCCAGGCCAACTCTCCTAACCTGAGCACAGGAAAACAACAATGACCCTAGTGGTGTTGCAAGCAGGTTCCAGTCCACAGGGCCTCCCTTTCCCGCTTTCAGGAGCCCGCCCTCCCTCAAGAGGGCTGTGGCTACTTAAGGGCACCAGAGCCAGCCCACATTGACACAGTCCCCTCTTACCCACGCAGGGTCCAGAATGGAGGCTGGGACTGGGCCTCTGCTCTCGACATTGCTGGGGCTGCTGCTGCTGTTCACACCTGGGACTCGAGGTGCCAACCCCGCCGTGGTGGCCCGGATCACAGACAAGGGCCTGGAGTACGGTAAGTAGTAGCCGGTAAGTAGTAGCAGCCGTACCCGCACCGCAGGCTGGCCTAGGAGACCTGACACCAGGCACAGCCAGAACATGGGGGACAGTGCACCCCTAGTAGGGAGCCTGGTAGGTGGGTCTTGTGGCAATAGCTGCGATTCTGGCCAGGTCACTCCCGAGATGTGTAACCTTAGCACACGACTTGTGTTATCTGACTTCTGCACCGGGATGGTTTGGGTTTCTGTAGCTGAAGCAAGAGGTAATTGAGAGAAAGGCAGGTAGCAGCGGCAGATGAGCTGTGACCTGAAGGCAGACAGCAGAGAGCTTGGTAAACAGCACTGGTCTGGGTCCTTCAGGAAGAGTCTGGGTGGAGTTTGCAACATGACCTAAAACCCACAAGTTATGGCTGGAGGCAGTTAGAGACAGGGAGGGACTCAGGCAGGCTGCTGGGGGATGGGATGTGCCACACTGGAACATGAGAGGTGCCATTGTTGTCATTGTTTGAGGGATAGAGAAAGTTAAGCCTGGGGACTTGTTCAAAGCCATTCTGTTAGAAAGATGTCATGGCCAGGATTCTAGCCCTGGAATCCTTCCAGTGTTTGTCACATCCCACGCAGATCCTTTTCTGGTCATGTAGTTTGTAAAGGCCTCTCCATTCCTTTCTGTAAAATGGGCACAAGCCCATCAACTGCATGATATGCAGGCATTCTCCTGACTCCATGCTGCCTGGTGCTGATGGGCGGGCAGCCTGTGATGTAATTACTGTCAGCAAGGACACCGGCCTCTCTAGCCAGGGAAGGTGGGAACCACTGAAGAATTTAAAGCACAGAAGGGGAGGCAAGGTAACCAGGCTGACACTAGCTTTTCCTTGTCTGCAGCGGCCAAGGAGGGGCTGTTGGTTCTGCAGAGAGAGCTGCAGGAGATCACACTGCCTGACTTCACCGGGGACTTCAAGATCAAGGCCATAGGCCGTGGGAATTACGAGTTTCATAGGTGATTGCAGAGTGGGCAGAGTCCAGGCATGGTTCTGGCAGCTTTTGGGGGCAGGCAGTGGGGGTTCAGAGGGGTTTCTTGGAGGGAGCTGGGCCCCTGCATTCAGCATAGCAGTGTTAATGCCTCCTGAGGGTGTGGCCTGAGTCTTGGTTTCCTCATCTGTACAGTGGAGCTGCTGCTCCCCTCTCTCCCTTAGAAGGCTAATTCAGGATCCAGCCACTTCAAGTAGCCTGGAAGGGAAGATAGGCTTAGAACTTAAAATGAAGAATCCTGACCACTAACATTGCCTTTTGTGGGTGGGGCAGTCAGGGAAGTCTTCCCGGAGGAGGGGGCACCCAAGCTGAGTCTTTAATGCCTTACTAGATTTAAGTGACTCATTTTTTTTAAAGAGGCATGAAGAATGGACAGCAGAAGAAGGGCAATCAGGCCTGCAGCCTATGAACACCCTCTTAGCTTAGTGCTCCCTTCTTTTATTCTGTTACTGCATGTTTATTAAGCACTTACTGTGTACCAAGCTCCCCCAACACCTCCACCCCAAAAGGAATCAACCTATTGTTTCCCTTGGACAGCCCCAGTCTCTTCCAGTCTTCTTTGAGGGCTATCTCAGGCTTTCTTAAATCTGGCCCCTTCCTGGACATGAGGAGGGCAGGATTAGAGGAAGGATCTGCCCTCTGACAGATATCTGCCCACCCCAGGATACTGTCACTAGCCCCTATGTGCCTGAAAGCCACAGAATCCCTTCCTCAGAGTGTAGTAGTCACTCCTATTGTGAAAAGGGGCAAAGTGGCACCAGCCTGATGCAGGGACCCCAGTGACATCAAGAGGATTGTCTGAAGCATGCCCCGCGCTGTGCCAGGCAAGGCTGTGAAGGAGGAAGCATGGTTCCTAGGTCAGCTATGTGTGGCCTGATGCCTCCCTCCTATCTCCCTGCAGTCTGGAGGTCCAGAGCTGTGAGCTGCGTGGCTCCTCCCTGAAGCCGCTCCCAGGCCAGGGCCTGAGTCTCACCATCTCCGACTCTTCCATCCGGGTCCAAGGCAAATGGAAGGCAGGCAAATCCTTCCTGTAAGTTAAGTCCCATTTGCCCCTGATCTTAGCCTTTAGTCCTTTTCCTGGGTTGTCAGAAAGACCACATGATGGACAGACAGGTGTAACCCAGGCCACAGTGTGGACCACAGCTCTCGCCTCTCCAGAATCTCTGAATCTGGATTTCAGAGAGAGAGAGAGAGAGAGAGAGAGAGAGAGAGAGAGAGAGAGAGAGAGAGAGAGAGAGAGTCCTGCTTCCCCTGAGGGTTCTGAGTGAACTAAATGAGACCACACACCCTGTTCCTGGTTTGTTTCCCACAGATCTAGACCCCAAGGCCAGGACCTCCCATGAGCTAGGGCTGTCCTTGTAACCTTCCAAATGTCCCCTCCCTCAGAGGAAGGTACAGAATGGGAAGAGTAAGCTTAGATACAGTTGGAGCTCATGGAACAGGATGCTGGAGGCTGTGAGAGAGATGCCTAAAGAGTCCCCAGCTCAGCCTGCTCACCCCTCCTTCCCCTGCCCTAACTCAGCCTGCTCACCCCCTCCTTCCCCTGCCCTACCTCAGCCTGCCCACCCCTCCTTCCCCTGCCCTAACTCAGCCTGCTCACCCCTCCTTCCTCTACCTTGCATCAAGGGCTATTCGGGGTCAGCACATTCCAGTCCCTAGATGTGGCAGCTCCACAAAACACATATGGCTGATTTAAGGATTCTAGAGGTCAGAAGGTCAAGGTCAGGAGAGCAGCAGGCCTGTCCTCCCCCATACCTCCCTGCACCCCCATCCCCCGGGCCACTCTCCTCAGCTTGTAGATGACATGTGCTTGTTACATTCCCATGTGGACTCTTGACAACACTGGTTTCTCCTTTCTTACATCCTAACCTCCTCTGACAGTGGTTCTCAACCTGTGCACAGTCTACCCTTTGGGGATGGATTGACCCTTTCAGAGGAGTTACCTAAGACCATTGGAAAACGCAGATATTTACATTACGATTCCTAACAGTAGCAGAATTACAGTTATGAAGTAGCAACAAAAATAATTTGCAGTTGGTGGTCACCACAACATGAAGAACTGTGTTAAAGGGCCGCAGCGCTAGGAAAGTTGAGAGCCACTGTCCTAAGAGGACCCGCTCTCCTTGCCTCTGTTAATCACACCAATAGGGCTGTCTCACTGTGGTGTCACCACCAAGGGGGACTGGGGGTGGGGCTTTAACCTGTGCATGTGGGGACACAATTCAGCCTAGGACCAGTGTCAGCTTGGTGGCCTGGTCACATCTACTCCAGAGGCACAGTGCCCTAGGTGGCAGCTTCCAGTCATGTGTTTTTGCAAAGTGTCCGGTATGAACAGAGCCCCACCAGAAGTGTTAAATGGCCAGATTCACAGATCTGGTGTAAGGGGGGCAGGATGCACAAATCTTACTTATTCTTACACAGGCCACTGAGTTTATACCCTGAAACAGCAATGCCCATTATTACACTTATTTGGGGGCCTGAGAGAGCTCAGCCGTTAAGAGCACTTGCTGCTCCTGCAGAGGACCCAGGTCCTGTTCCTAGTCATATCAGGCAGCTCCTAGCCACCTGTGACTCCAGCTTCAGGGGACCCGATGCCCTCTTCTGGCTTCCATGGCCACCCAAACACACAAAGATGCACACACAGACAAATAAATAAAAATAAATCTTTAAAGTTGTTTTTGCCACTTTCTCTGTCGGTTCAGTGTGATCACTAGGATTGGCATGTGTGTCTCCCATTCCGTGTCTGTGGACTGTTCATGCCTGGCACCTGTGGCATTCTCCACTTCCATCAGAAGAGCACTTGGCCACACTGCTTCCTCCAGCTTTTGTCTCCATCGACCTTTAGCCATGTTTCTCCTTGAGCATATGGAGATCCGCCCTGTTTTTTTTTTTTTCCTCAAAATTGTTTTTTTATTTAGTTTTTGTTTGTTTCAGATTTTTTGAGACAGGGTTTCTCTGTGTAGCCCTGGCTATACCGAAACTGGCTTTGTAGACCAGGCTGGCCTCCCACTCAGAGCTCTGCCTGCCAAGTGCTTGGACAAAGGCGTGCAATACCACTTCGAGGAGCTTTTTTTTTTTTTTTGTGAAGCTCACAGAGTATAATACTGATCATTTGACATTCATACGTCTGTGGCTTTGGGTACATTCACAGGTCTGTGTAATCATGGCCTCTACCCAGTTCTCAAACGTTGTGTCACACCACACAAAAGTCCATTTACATGAAATACAGTTACTCCCCACTTCCCATTTCTCCAGCCCCAACCTGCACAGATCTTCCTGTCCTGGACCACGAACTTGACCGGACCACACCACACATCTGCTTCTGTCACTTAGGTTTTGAAAGTTTGTCCACATCACTATGCTGATACTTCATTCCGTGAATTTTACCTTGTTTTCAAAGGCTGCATAGAACACGAATATCCAAAGCATATTCATGTTTTGTTGTTTTTTATTTTTTAAGGTTGGTTTTATTTTGAATGATGTGTATGGGGGTAGGTGAGTGAACGGGTATACGCTGTGGTGGCCATAGGCATCGCATCACACTGGATCTGGACTGACAGATCCTTGACAGCCCTCTGGGTCCTCTGCAAGAGCGCAACACATGCTTAACCACTGTAATCTCTCCAGGCCCCCTCAGGCTGTTTCCTGAAGGTGTTTCTTCGTGGGTTGTTTTTGCTTTCTGCTACCCACGATGCTTCAGTGAGCATCCCCCACCCCCTCCACACACATCAGGGAGAAAGAGTTGGGAGTCAGGTGTCTGGGCCTGATACTGTGTTCTGCAACTCGAACAGCTGTGCCTGGTTGTTCCCCACCCTGTGTCAGTTCCTATGTTAGGGAGGCAACCCTTCCCACGCCCCCAGTACTACCCCACTCCCTACCCCTCCACCACCCACTCACCCCCCACTGTCCAAGAAGCTGATTCTTTCCATTGTGTATATCATGGGGTTTTGTTCAGCCCCAAACATTCTGCTAGATCTTTTATTTGTGATTAACTCATAAATCTTGGCTGGTGTAAACTTGTTTTGAATAAGAATCCAGGTTCCTGTTTCTGCCCCAATGGCAGCAGATCCTAGCCACCATGAATAATTGCTCCTCTGGCCACCAGGAAACTTAAGGGCTCCTTTGATCTGGATGTCAAAAGTATCACCATCTCAGTGGACCTCCTCCTGGGCGTCGATCCCTCGGGGCGGCCCACAGTCACTACCTCCAGGTGCAGCAGCCGTATTAGTGCTTTGGACGTGGACATATCAGGAAATGTGAGGTGAGTCACCCCGGGGACCCCCTGGGTACGGTCCTGGTGTGCTCTGATAAGTGTTCAGATCTGGGTGGAATGTTTAGAGCCTCAAAGACATTAGAGACCATCCCTTGAGGACTCTGTTGGGACAGACAGGTACAGACACAGGCAGGAGTGCTAAGGTGCCATTTCCACAAGTCAGCAGGCTTAGGGGACCTTGTCAGGGGAGGGGCTTTGTGTAGTGGAGGAGCATGTGGCTTTGGCCAAAGTTCAAGTCTATGGACAAGTTTTTGTCTCCCAGTCTTTGTTCCCCTGGCTAGAAAATCAGATTCTAGTTCCAACCCCAAATCCCCTGATCTTATCAGATATGGCAGAAGGCTGGAGCCAGCCATTCTGACCATGGCAGGGCTCTGGGGCACTGATTGGGAGCCACCTGATGTGGGTGCTGAGAACCTAACTTGGGTCATCTGCAGGAGCAGTATGTGCTCTTAACGGCTGAGCCATCTCTCCATCTCCAGGAGGCAGGGCCTGACTCTCTCCATTCCCACTGTCCCTGTACCCAGTGGCAGACAGTTGACTGTGTACTGTGTCCCATGCCTAGGTGGCTACTGAATCTCTTCCATGACCAGATTGAGTCCAAGCTCCGAAAAGTATTAGAGAACAAGGTAAGAAAGGCCAAGGGGGCTGGGTGGATCCTCCCACAGGCTGCTGTCTCTGGACAGGCTGTGGGGACCTGTCACACACACACACACACACACACACACACACACACACACACACACACACACTGTGGTCCTGGGGTCAAGCTGAATTGGATAAACATGCCAGCCTTGAACCCATGACATAGTACCAAAGTTACTTACACTCCTTGCTGCTGCTTCTGATAATGATTAGCAACATATCTTATAGCAACATACATTGCAATAATTATCACAAAATACAGTGTTATAATTATTGTTTTGCTCAATTAATAGAATTAGTGAAGAATATACTATTCTTGTTTATAAAGAACAGCTGCTGTTTTTCGATCCTGTGTTTTGGCAAGGAATAATGAAATGAGCTGAGGGGTCAATTTGCATAATCTTGGCCCAATATTTTTATGTTTTGAGACAGGGTCTTACTACATAGCCCAGGCTAGCCTCAAGCCCAAGATCTTCCTGGATTATAAATATTAATACCAAACAGGGATAGACCTTAGACTTTGAGAGACTGGGGTGGCTGAGAAGCATAGTAAAACTAAGCAGGATGAGGATCTTCCTAGCTCTGGGGCCCCTATGCCAAAGGCCTTAGAAGATCTAAGTGTCTAGAAGAGTTAAGGATCTAGCTTGGGCCCTGCTCTCTATGAATTTTCAGACATCTCTTTCCTGCAAGCTCTCCTCACTGGCTGCTACAGGGTTCAATCTTCCCTGCTCAGGGTAGAGGGCACTTTCTGAAACAGTGGGGCTAAAAAGACATACTCTGGGAGACATGCTATCTTGTTGCCCTGCACCCCCAAACACTTAGGAAGTGGTTGGCCTTGGGTTCTGTGAGGAAGCAGCCAGAACCCAGAGATGCAGAGGTCCCAGGGCCAGTGGATACTGATCAGGATTTAAACCCAGGGTGGGGGCTTCCTCCTGCTTGCAGCACCCGTAGCCACCATGCTTCCATACTTCCAGAAGGCCTTACTAGGCATCTGGGATGGAAGACCCATGTTTTCCCTCCCAAGCGTTTAAGGTCTCTGAAAGAATAGGGTACCGAGGCTCAGGATTTAGGGGGCTGGTGAGATAGTGTCTTTCCAGGGAAGGGACAACCCTAGATAGGCTGACAGCCTCTCTGGGCTCCACAGCTGCACCCCACACCTCCCAGACTATCACCCTTTCCTTTGGCTCCATGGCACCCCACAGATGACATTCTCTCCCATCTGTAAAGGATGAGCATTACCCTTGCCTGCCCAGCCCCCATGGCCTCCCCCACTGCCTACCACCTGACCGATAGCGCTGTAGAACTACTTGTCCTTAAGTATGTATTAGACATGTCTCTCCTCTTCTGAGAAGCCACCTGTGACTGCACTGTGTCTCTCTCTCTCTCTCTTTCATTGCACACCTGGGTACACTGCAATCAGTGGTAACTCACAAATCAAAAAGAACTTTTTAATGGGGCACGGTGGCACACACCTGCAATCCCAGCACTCAGATACTGAGGCAGGAGGATCTCAAGTTTGAGGCCAGACTGGGGTACATAGCAAGAATCTGTCAAAATGGAAGGAAGCAGGGCAGAGATGGCTCAGTGGGGAGAGTGCTTATTGTACAAGCCTCAGGGCCTCAAGTTCAGATGTCCAGCCCCGGGTGAGAGCCAGCAGTGTGGTGCATCTGTAACTATGCTATGGGGGTCACAGCCAGGCAGGTCTGTGCACATATGTGTACACATGCACACAACATACAACATCCATAGAAGAAAGCAAAGAAATGCTGCTTCAAGTTTCCACTCTCCTGTGCACACATAACAAAGAAAATACGTACTCGTGGCCCCAGATGTAAGTAAATGTGAATTGACACAGAACATGAAGCTGTTCTTTGAGATGGGTCCTGGCAGACACAGCACTGTGGAATCGGTTTGTTGCAAACTCCACTTCTTCAACCAGCTGCCAATGAAGAATTCACCTGCAGACCATCCCCATGCTGACACTCGTTTATTTACTTATTATTTGTGGGAGGGAACACACATGCCATGGTGCTCCTATAAAAGCCAGGTGACAATCTGTGGGAGATGTGATCCCCTTCCACTCTGTGGGTCCTGGGTATCAAACTCAGGATGCTGGGATTGATCACCGTTCCTTTATACACTGAGCCACCTCGACAGCCACCATCTCTATTTTTAGAACCCTTTCCTCCTCCTGGCTTCTCTGTTATCCAGAGGGAACCACATGGTTAGCACCTCCCCTTTCAGAATACTTATCTCTGGTTGTCTTGAAAACATTTCTTCTTGATCATATTTTGTGGGCTTATATAATAAATAACTCAAGTGATTACAGCATCCAGGACAGCAAACAGGTTTGGAAACATATATTTCCTGCTCTTGAGAAGCTCACAGCTCCACTGGTGGTGATAAATTGCGCGTAAGTGGTTCATAGGCACGACCACTGTGTTTCCTATGGGTACCCATCGAGCAGGGGCGGCCAAAGCCGCCACCGCCCAGTGACAGCCAGTAGGGCTGACTGCAGGATTTCTATGCCTACTTAGACAGGGTCAGCTGTTCAGATCTGAGCTCCTGCTGCCAAGGCTTCCCCTAAGAAACCTGTGAAGATGGAGATTCACACACCATATCCCACCAGTGCCTTTTCATTTGCAGATATGCAGCCTTGGGGCCAGCTCTGAACAGCTCGCTCAGACCCTGCTGGAGTCATGATATTTTTGTTTTGTTTTGTTTTTATCACTTCTGCTTTGGTGGCACCTGGTTCATGCTAAGAATTTACAGATATTTGCAAGTAGATGACCACTGAGCAAATGTCACCAAGGGCTTGCACAGGTGTGGACTCACCAGCCTTCCCTTTCCTGTTTCTCTCAGGTTTGTGAGCTGATCCGGAAGTCTGTGACCTCTGACCTGCAGCCTTATCTCCAAACTCTGCCAGGTAGGACACCCACATGCCCCTAGGGACTCTATTTCTCTTCATTTTTCATAAGCCTATATTTGGACCCTATCAAATAGTCAGAAAGAAGCCATTTAAAATCCTCTTTTCTCCTCAGCATTTCTGCCAAGAGGTAGCCTTGTTCTAGGCTACTCTTACAAAAGAAAGCATTTAATTGGGGCTTGCTTACAGTTTCAGAAGTTTAGTCTATTATCATCTTGGCAGGGAGCATGCAGGCAGGTGCTGGAGTAGGGAGTAGCTGAGAGCTATATCCTGATCCATAGGCAGAGAGAGAGAGAGAGAGAGAGGGAGGGGGGGAGAGAGAGAGAGAGAGAGAGAGAGAGAGAGAGAGAGAGAGAGCCTGAGCCTGACATGGAATTCTTTCAAATAGTGCCACTCCCTGGCGACTAAGTATTCAAATACATAGTCCTGTGGGGGCCATTCTCATTCACACCACCACAGATGTCTAGCTTTGCTAGTTTTTGCAATGGCCACAGGGCAGCAGGGAGTGCCCTGTATTTGCTTTTTACATCTGAGGAGCAGCTATGTTTGGAGTCCAAGTCCTAGGATGCATATGGGGAGTATGCACTTGACAAAGGGTCTGTGAATTCTATGGTGAGGCTCCCAGGTCCCTGGGTGGCACTTGCTAACATCCCTTCAACTCTGGCTGAGGCTGGGGCTGGCACACATCTGACCAAGCATGGGGCATGGTTCAGTCACTCAACCAGGGATGTGGAAGGGATACTCTCCCAAGGCCCTTGAGGGATGCCTGGATTTCTTGGTCCTTTTGCTTAGCATGAACAGTGTGTGTGTGTGTGTGTGTGTGTGTGTGTGTGTGTGTGTGTGTGTCCCTCTGGCTGGCTGTGACCACCCAACTCTGGAAACTGCTTAGGCCTTAGGCTGAACCCCATACCCCCACCACAGCTTCTCCACCATGGGACTGGAAACACTCTATCATGCTCCTTTGTTAGAAAGGCATGGCCTGGGAGCTGGGATGTATGGAATGGGTAGGTGGAGTCTTTTATGAGATCTATTTTTATTGCGATACATTATGTGTATTTGTGGGTAGGTCCACATGAGTTCAGAAAGCCTAGAGGCATAAGATCCTCCTGGAGCTGGAGGCACAGGTGGTTGTGAGATGTCTGACCTGAGTGCTAGAAAGTAAACTCTGGTCCCCTGGAAGACCAAGATGCACTCTTAGCCACTGATCCATCTCTCCAGCCCCTGGGTGGAGGGTATTTAGAGAAGCACTCAGGGCTCACCCCCTCTTGACTTGCTGCAGGCCATACCTGGCCCTACTTCTGTCCCTCACTCTCTTCCTCCTCTAACTTACAGTCACAGCAAAGATTGACCATGTCTTGGGCATTGACTACAGTTTGGTGGAGGCGCCCCGTGCACATGCCCAGATGCTAGATGTGATGTTTAAGGTGAGGGTGCAAAATTGGGAGTTAGCCATGGGACACAGGACTGTCAGCCCCCTCTGCTCCCTAACTTCAGGTCTGTCCTCATTTTTTAGGGGTTCTTGCTCTGCCCAGGGCCCAGAGTTATGGAGTGGTGGGTAGTGTTCCTAGAAGTGGGAGTCACACAAGAGTATCTCTATACCACTCTCAGCCTCAAGACTCCCCCTTGCCCTCCCCCACTCCTCCAGCACCCTGCCCACCCTGATGGGGGAAGGCATCAGAACCTGGCGGGGCAGAGGGGCTGGCTAGCACACACCCTGCTGTTTCCATAAAGCAAAGCTTCCAGAGCCCTTGTGCCATATATGACACAAGCTTGCCCAAAGGACTTTACCAACAGAGGGCACTTTAGAATGATGTTTCCAGTCTGTGCCATTCACCAATCAGTCATCATAGGTAACCCTGAGCTCAAAGGCTAGCCATGGGATAGACTTCAAAATGTTCAGTTGTCCCCATTCCCTCTCCAGGGTGAAATTTTTAATCAGAATCACCGCTCTCCGCCTGCCTCCCCAACTCCAACAATGATCCTACCTGAAGATGGTAAACTAATGGTCTACTTTGCCATCTCAAATCATGCCTTCAACATAGCCAGCCGGGTTTATCACCAGGCTGGGTACCTGAACTTCTCCATTACAGATGACATGGTGAGAATGTGGGCTTTGCCGTGCTCCCCCAGGACAGCATGGCTCATCCTTCCTTCCATTCTGTTGTACTTACACCAGAAAAATAGTGAGTTATAGCTAAGCAAATATCAAGACCAGCAAAATATATTAACATAATTTCTCTTTATTTCTTGAGCTACCAGGAAATTCAAGGCCAAAGTTCTTTCTTCCTCATAACCATCAAAGACTTGTTTATGTGTCTCTGTTTGACTTCTAGTCTAGGCCTATTCTAACTCGTATTTTCTCTTATCATGATAACTCCTGCAGACCTATTAAAAATAATTTAATGGGCCAGACAGTGATGGTTCATGCCTTTGATCCCAGCACTTGGGAGACAGAAGCAGGCAGATCTCTGTGAGTTCAAGGCCAGCCTGGTCTACAGACTGAGTTCCAGGACTGGTTCCATAGCTACAGAGAACTCTGTCTCGGAAAAAAAAAAGAATAATAATTTAATGTGTAAGGCAAAATCACATTACAGAGAAAGAAAATAAGAACTAAATAAAAAGTAAATGGCAGTTATGAAGACACTAGATTTGTTTGTCAACTTGACAGGCTCTAGAATCACCAAGGACACAAAGACAAATCCCTGTCATCTCTGTGAGGGATTATACAGATTAGGTAACTGAGGTGGGAAGAGCCGCCCATTCTATAGGGTGAAGGAAAGGAGAGAGTGAGTTGAGACAGGACCAGCTCTGTTTGCATCTGTGGCTGCAGGGTGTCCAGATGCCTCAAGCTCCTGCTGTGATGGGCTGTTCTCTTGAACTGTGAGCCAAAATGACCCTTCAAGTCACTTTGGTCAAGTATTCTGTTACAGCAATGAGAAGTGACTAACTCATCCATTGCTACAATTCTCCTCTAATGAGCATGCTAAAGCCCCCGTGTCTTCTTCCTGCAGTTACCACCTGACTCCAAAATCCGGCTGAACACTAAGGCTTTCCGCCCCTTCGCTCCCCAGGTAAAGCCCCTTCCGCCTTCCATGGGCACAACTTGAGCCCACCAGTTTGCCAAAGCTTCTCTCTAGAACCTCTGTGACCCTCTCCACTTGACTCAGAACCAGAGGCTAGTGAGGAGACCCCAGGGAACACCTGGGGACTGTAGACTTGAGGGCTCCCTTCAAAGTCCTTGCAGCATGGGCCTAAACATCCTTTGGCTTTCCAGTTTGGTTTTGTTGTTAAGGGGCCCAGTGAATGCTGGGAAGGACACCTAATTAATATCACCTAGCAGCCAGAGAGGGTTACCAGGAGCCAGGCATGCTCAGCTTGCTTTAAGGGGCTCTTACAACATTCAAGGTGCTGGGGATGGAACCTGGGGTACACATATGCTACAAAAGCTCACTACCTCTGAGTTATACCCCAGCCCTAGGTTTTCTAATACAGGATCTCATATGTGGCCCAGGATGGCCTTGAATTTATAACCCCCTTGCTTCAGCTTACCAAGAGCTTGGAACTACAGATGTGCACCACTACATCCAGTATTGAGATTTATCTGAATGGAAAAGAAGTTCTCATATCTTACCATTCCAGATATATAAAAGGTGACGGAGGGAAGGACTCCCAGCCCCTGCTGGCCCCTGCTGGCCCCTGGCACCCACTTCCCATGAAAAGGCTCCCAGGTTTCCAATAGTGTCAGATCCCAGAAGGTGCCAGATCACAGAGGTCGTGAGGCCCCATGCAGGTACTGGGAATTGAACATAGGTCCTCTGCAAGAACCAAATATGTTCTTAACCACTGAGCCCTCTCTCCAGCCCCCCTCCCCTAGTTCCTGTTTTATAGTCTCTGCAGGAGGCAGTGTTGGTTCCCCCTGGTTCTTTTGCACAAACAGGCATGTACAGCACTCCCCGACCTTCCTGTCTATGGAAACCCTCCATACAGGAAGTTAAGTAGCTGCCTCCCCCTTTTTGGTCACAGTGAGACAACCTGCCCTTGTGTAGGTATAGTTTCCATAGAAGGATGCATGGGTTGTTTGCAACCTTTGGTGACACCAGCATCACAGTGAATAACCCAGTAGGCCTGCCACCACCAGACCCGTTAGTATGTTGCTTTGCTTAGATTGGTTCCCCAGATTCCCACTGGTTCCTCTCTCAACTTTTCCACCCGTGCCTTGCAGAAGGCTAGGTACTGTGCAGAAAGGAATTAGAAGGGTGAAAGAGAATTCAGAAGTTTGGTTTAGAGAGATGGCTCAGCTGAGAGCAGTTGTCACTCTTATAGAAGATCGGATTTGGTTCCCAGCACCCACATGGTGCCTCACAATCATCCTTATCTCCAGTTCCAGGGGATAAGGATCATCCTTATCTCAACAGTTCTGACCTCTGCGCATCAGGCATGCATGTGGTGCACTCGTAGACATAAAGCAGAATAAATACATCTATAAACAAATTTAAGAAAGGAATTGAATATCCAAGTCCTGCATTATCAGGCCCTGTCCCTCCTCAAAGTTGCAGAGTTGTCCCAGCTAATTCTGAGGCGTCACCCTCGCTACAGCACCCCTTGGCTCTTGACTGCTCCACCTTCTTGTCATCACCACAACCACCCAGCAAAGCAGCCACCTGCTAAGTCCCGGATGACTAGCAGCCCCACCCCCTCCAGCTCCTAAATTCCCCTGACAGTTAACTGATGGATCTGCCTTTATAGAACCAAAGGATCATGGGAGTTTGTTCTCTGCCTCCCCAGTCTTGCCTCAGATTAAATTCCATGGCCACCATAATTCAATAAAACATTGAGCCCCCTTGCAGTGATGAGATCTGGTCAGGTCTGGTTTCTGCGAGCTAGCACAGATGCTATGGTGTCCCTCTTTCTCTACTGACCAGGGAGGGTAGAGGTAGGGTGTCTACATGGGTAGATGTCCCTCCACTGTTAAGAAGGCACAGGGTACAGCACATTCTGTGGAAAGTAGAACGGGCCCCAAAATATCCCCTTTATATTTTCCCTCTAGTCTCTGTAGACCTATTTCTTTCTTCCAACATCATCTCCAAATTCTACTCCCAGATAACCAGAAGGTACCCTGACATGAACTTGGAGCTCCGTGGAACAGTGGTCTCTGCCCCACTCCTGAATATCAGCCCTGGGAATCTATCCTTGGCCCCTCAAATGGAGATTGAAGGTTTTGTGCTCCTGCCCAGCTCCGCCCCAGAGTCTGTCTTCCGGCTTGATGTGGTAAGGCTTAGCAAATGCTGTTGTTCCTCTTCATAAGAGCTTTTCCCTCACTCTCCTCAGGTCTCAACTGATGTATTACAACCCCAGAAGGGCTTTCTTGCTTCCTTTTTCCACCAATATGTTTTACCATTTGCATTTTTAAAAATTTGTGGCACTCTGTTAATTCTCTCCATGGTGTTTATTGCCCAGGCATTTCTGTAGTTATTTGAATTTGCTGTCTTGTTTCAGGATTCAACTCAACAAGGGCAAAGTCCTGAAGGGCAGGTAGTTCCTCTCAGAGGGTGTATCTGCCTTTCAGAGTTACTTACTGATGATATCAAATTGTTTTTAAATAAATTAGAATTCAATGCTATCATTGCTAATGCTGAGCTGGGCCCAGGGGTACTAGGCCATGACCTCTGAGAGCTGACTAGGTGTAAATTCCAGGTCTCCCCTCTTGTTACCCTGTTAAAGGTTTAACTGCTGTAATTTCAAGCAAAGCTATTCATGTACAAGTTCAGTCCCTCACTGGTCAATACACTCAGTGCTGTGGGAGGCTGCAGTCCAGTGGGTGAATTTCCCAGGCTGCTGGTTCCCGCCTTATCACCTCTGCCATCATTAAAGCTTGTCTCTTTTTACTGACTCTTCCAGGTCACTAATGTGTTTGCCTCATTGACCTTCAACAACAGCAAGGTCACCGGGATGCTGCATCCAGAGAAGTAAGGGATGGGCATCACAGCAGGGGGAAAGCTATGTGTGGGCTCCTAGCTAGCTCCATCTGGACTCTGTAATTGGGGAAGGGATGGGATGTGACTCCCCTGTCAATGTTGGGGGCCTGCCATTTGGGAAGGAAATATAAATATAACTTACTCTGGTTGGCTTAATTCTTTTGATGTACTGCCCTATAAATTTTAAATGTCTGAATAACTCACACTGCTTTTGCTTAGTTTATGAATTTTAGCTCTCAGCTGTATTGACTTACTGGAATGCTAAAGGCATTTCCCCAAGCTCCACCAGTCTTCCCAGCATCACTGTGTCTGTTTCTCCTGCCCCTCTGGCACCTTAGCCTTCCCCTGCTATGATGCCTACCCCTATGATTCTGCTTTATTACAGGGCACAAGTGAAACTGATAGACTCCAAAGTCGGCATGTTCAACGTAAGTTACTGTCCTTAGTTATGACATAATTAAGATGCTAGTTAATTGCTGATGTTTTTGAAGCAGTTGACAAGGCACCTAGAATAGGAGTGGGAATAGAAGAGCAGATCTCTGCCTGGGCCCCTGTTGAACCTCTCAAGAATATAATACAGGGTCAATGAATAATTATGTCCCAATATAGGATTGGCTGTTGGTCAGGATTATTTTAACTGCAATGAAAAGAAATCCATCTCAGCTTGTCTTGAGCAAAGGGGTGGAATTCATAGGGTCACTTAACTAAAGATAAAAGGCAAGGCTTGAGAGATGGCTCAGTTGGCAAAATGCTTGACATGTATGAGAATCTGACTTCAAATCCCCAGTGTATAAGTAAAAAGCCAAGCATGGTAATCCCAGGGCTAGGGAGAAGCAGGTGGACCCCTGAAGCCCACTGGCCAGCCTAATCAGTGAGCCCCAGGACCAATGCTACACACACACACACACACACACACACACACACACACACACACACTTATCCATACAAACATGTGCTCACACCTGAGTGAACATATCCATAAGACAACTAGCACCACAAAACTAAGGGTGGGGATTTCACATAGAGCTGGACCCAGGTGCTCAGGTCTGTGCATCAAGAGCCTCTGCCCATCCCTCAGGTCTAATTTCACCCACCTTGCCTTCATTCACAGATAGTGGCTTCTACTGGCAGCAAACCCCAGAGTCTCCTGTAGTTTAATTTTTCTGGAGAAAAAAAATCCCTAAGCTAGCTCTCATTAGATTAAGGTTTTGTTTTGTTTCAAGACAGGGCCTCACTAAGTAGCTCTGGCTCTCCTAGGAACTTGCTATGTAGACCAGGCTGGCATTGAATTCATGCCTCTGCCACCTGCCTCTGCCTCCCGAGTGCTAGGATTAACGAAGCAAAGATTTGTACCACCTGGGCTGAGGTAAACTACATGTAACTGTTTCTTGGGGCACAAAAGGGCTGCATGGTCACCGTGCACCTCTTTTCTTCTCCCCCAGGTGAACCTGTTTCAAGCATTTTTCAACTATTATCTTCTCGAAACTATCTACCCTGAGGTCAATGGTAAGACAGGCTCTAGGCCTTCCCATGTCTGGAATAGACACCAGAGTCTTTACCCTGAATTGGAAACCAGGGTCTCCTGAGAGATGAGTGACCCTGAGAAGTCACTTGCTGCAGTTTGATGGCCACTGTGGGATGGAACATTGAAGGCAGCCTCGTGTTCTTCCAGTGGAGTTTGGGATTGAGACAGTTCTTTAAACTCCTAATGGAGAAGGAGAGACTTTCAGAAATGCCCATACTTACTGAGGTGACAGGTGAAAGACCAAGGATTGGGTCACAGTAGGACAAGGCAACCACCTTGAATGTGCATTTTCCAGTCAACTGCCCAATTCTGTAGTCAAATAAAACAACCTAAGACCCAAGGCCTGTTCCAAGGTGGAAAGCTTCACCAGGCTACAACAGGAAGCAGGTGGTGGAGGCCAGAGAGCTGCCCACTGGTCATCACAACCTTCTGCCTCCTGATAACTGCCACTTCCTCCATCAGACCATGTCTAGTGGCTTAGGTGCTCTGCCGGCCATTTTGGGTTCAAATCTGCAGTTTACTTGCTTTGGAACCTAGAACAAGTTACCTGGCCAATATATATATACATATATATATATATATATATATATATATATATATTTGTGAAAATACCTCACAGTCTTAGGCAATCACTGACGGGGGACACAGTGCATCACGCATATATAGAGCGCTGAGCTTTGGTAAAAATTTGTCTATTGCTGTCAGTTATCAACATATCTCTTCAATGGTGTTGTCAACCCACAGATGAGCTGGCCAAGGGCTTCCCCCTTCCTCTTCCAAGGAATATTCAGCTCCACGACCTTGACCTCCAGATCCACAAGGTCAGTGGGTTCAGTGGGGCTCTTGGGATGTGAGGGGTTGGAGCTGGGCAGCCTGCCAGGTCTGGAAGCCACTACTCAGAGGGTGGGCCCAGTTCGGTCCTGCAGCTGAGAAGACTCTTGAGGACAGAGTGTCCCCAGGAAGCCAAGGTTGGAGTCTGGGGACAGAAGAGGTGGCTCTGTGGTTGAGAGCAAGTATTGCTCCTTCTGAGGACCATACACTGTTTCCAGCCCCCATAATGGGTGGCTCAGAGCCACCTCTAATGTACCTCCAGCTTCAGGGGATCAGATACCTGGCTCACATACACAAACCCACACACAGATGCATGCGCACACTGCAGCTTCCTGGCGGCCTCATGAGTATCCTTAGTACCACCTAAATTTTCTCTCCTTGACAAAGGACACAAAATCTAGAGCTCCTGGACTTCACTTTCTTTCGATGTTCTTGAGTTTCCATCATCTAGACGGGTGGGAACTGGGCCAAGTTCAATTCTTCCCCAGGGATCCACCACCATCCTTAGCTGTCAAACAGCCATAGTCGACCTCAAAATTCTAATAAACATGATAATGTATGATACATCTTATAGTAGCTTCCCAGGTGCCAGGCATAATAAAATATTAATTATATATGCATACACAATTAATAAACATACAGATGTCACTACTGGGCAGGAGGTATTTGACACAGCCTGGGGCTCCAAAAGGCTCATTTTGAAAACTCCAGCCTTGCCAGCAGGTCATGTTCCAAAGGCCGTTGGTAAGTTATATGATTCCCCAGGTTGGTTTTTGTTTAATTTTCTGCTGTTCTGGGTTTTACAACGCTAGGAAACACTCTAGCACTGATCTACAGCCTTAGCCCTTATTTCTATTCTTAAGAGGAAGAGCTACACCCCAAATGCAGCTTAGAACACCCCATTTTAAACAAGTGTTATAGCCTATACACATTTTTTTAATTGTCTGAAGCCCTATTACCACCCACAAACACGGTTGAACTCAATAGACTTGTCTCCAAGACCCTGGGGATTTAGGGTTTGTTTTTTCTCTCTGTAATGTTTTATTAATTTGTTTGTTTGTTTGAGACATGGGCAGTATTAGCTCTTATATTGTCATAGGAGTCTCTCAGTTCTGAGATGTTTGAATTCAGTCAAGAGACAGAGACAGTTCAAAGAGAAGTTTATTTAGCGGGGGCTGGTAAAATGGGTCAGGGAGTGAAGGCACTTGCTCTCAAGTCTGATGACCTGAGTTGGATCCCCAGGACCCACGTGGTAGAAGGTGACAATAGACTCCCATCAATTTCCACAGGTTGCCCTCTGACCTCAGGCATGCACTATGAGGAGTGTGTGTGTGTGTGATGTGTGCATGTTCACACACACACACACAATAAACAGACAGACAAATAAATTTTAACATGATTCAAAAGGTTAGATAAACTATCCAAAGAGACTGAAATGGGCTTCCCCAAGGTGCCCAGCTACCAGTGGAACCTACTTTGTGGATTTAAAAGTTTTTACAAATATGAGATGGGTTATAGAAGGTAAATCTTTCTCCCTCTCAAATCATGGTAGACCAGATCTCCTTTTGAGGGCATTTCTTCCCAAGATCCTCACAAAAGGGGAAGGCAAAACCACTGTGCAAGTGATAATAGAATCATCTTGGGTTAGTACATGATGCAGACCCTTCATTAGTGCTCGTGTCTGGAAAGATGCCCTGGGGCCTCAGTTTCTGACACAGAGAATGACCTAACAGCAGAGAGGCAGCCTGACCATCAGGAGACATAGCTACCAGGATGCAACTGTAGCTTTCCTCCTAGTATTGAGATTTGTTTCTTTTCCTTTAAAAATATCATTCTTTGGGCTTGTTCCTTTTCATATTTGGCTTCTACATCCCAGTGATAGTTGGATACAGTCCCATTCAACACAAGGATGGTGACTGACTCCATCAGTACAGCAAGAAATAGATCTACTTTTCACTCTCCTGACTATTATTGTGATGACACATTTCTGTGGTCCATCTACACCCTGAGTCTCAGTTACCTCTCTAAGCAGCATCTCCAAGATGAGATAATGGGGCTGGCAGATGTGTGAACCACCCTGGAGGTGTTGTGGTCCATGGTCAACATCCATCTGATCACTGTGTAAAACAAAGGCTAGGTGACCATTCACATAGCTGGCCCTCGGTTCTCTTTCCTGTACATGGGGTATAGTTCAAACTTCCTTGAGTTTTTGTGAAAGTTGGAGGTCAAGAATGGAAGTTTGTAGTTCAGCATCTGGCACCTGGGAAGAGACTGTCATATTTATCACCACATTATCATGTTCATTAGAATTTTGAGATCAACTATGGACTTTGGACCACCAAAGACCATGGTGGATCACTGTGGAAAGAGTCCAAGCTGGCCTTGAGGGCTGAGTTCCCACCTCCTCCAGATGATAGAAACTTAAGAACAGCAAGAAAGTGAAGCCCAGGAGCTCAGGAATTCATGTCCTTTGCCACAGAGAGGAAATTTAGGTGAGAGGGCCTGCCAGGAAGCTACAGCTTGGGAAATGATAGATAGGGTACCATCTGGGAGAAGGGAGCTGGCAAAGGCTATGGTGGAGAGCTGAAGCTGGAGATTTATACACTGACCTGACTCCTATTTCTAGCAGAGCTGTGTTCATCACAACAGGCATTCATATTCTCTGTCGTCTGTCTGTCTTCCCTCCCTCTTTCCCTCTCTCCCTCCCTCTCTCTCTTTACAAGTTCTGGGCTCAAATTCAAGATCCTCTTGTCTCAGTTTCCTGAGGACTGGACTGTGGGTGTGCATCACAATGCCTGGCTTAGAAGAGTCTGTTTTCTCCTAGGACTTCCTATACTTGGGTGCCAATGTCCAGTACATAAAAGTCTGAGGACAAGAAGAACGATGGACCCTGGAGACTACAGCTGGACCTGCCATTTGCAATTCCACATGTGCAGCACATCTCTGGAGAGTCCCAAAATACAAAGATGTTTCTGTTCCTGGCTCCATGGACCCTGCCACTGAAGTCCTCCTCTTCACCATACACACCCTCTTGACACTCTCTTCCAGGAAGCACCCTCTTCTCTGGCTGACCTGGAATAGCTTTAAGAGCAGGCGCTGTGGTTAAGGGCAGATACTGTGGTTTTGAATTCACCATCTGATCTTCATTTCTGGCATAATGCTAGCACTTAGTAGGACTTCAATAAATATTTATAGAATGGCATGACATTACAGCTGAACCTCTTTAATGCTCCCCCTTATCCCCCCATCTGGTCTCAGCCAGTCCTGATGCTCAGCTCCAGCTGTGGTCTCCAAGGCTCTACCTTGACCTCCCTCTCTGTCCTGTTGGTCCCTGCTAAAAGGGCCTCAACAAGAGAGTGGAGGACTCCGCATGCCCCCCCCCACTTCCCCAGCACTGCATTTACTCTGGTGTCCAGCACAAAGGCCCTTGTCCTGTCTAAGCTCCTAGGCTCATTCCCACAGGCATCACTTCCTTGCCTCCTGCTTGCTGCGACAACAGGCCCAGAGCCAAAGCAAAGAACTACAGCCTCTTACTGTTGTCTCCATCAAGGCCTGTGCAAGTGAGGGAGAGGGGGATCCAAGGAAGGTTTTGGTTGGACCCAAATCAAAAGCTCATTTGACTATTGTTCACGAGCCACATGCCTTCGAGGAGGGGCCGTGATTTCTAACTACGGAACAATAAGCCTTTGATCAGACTTAATAAAGAGTCATTCCCATGTTATGTAGTTAGGCCCCCGGGCTGGGAGTCAGAAGGCTCATTGGAGTTGTTTTTTGTTAATTGTGTTAATGAGCAGATGGATAGCGCTGCCGGCTAGCAGATAACTCATGGGGAATGAACCCATTTACTCCGTGTATGACAGAGATGGGTTCCCAGACTGGTGGCAGGGTGACGCATGGCTTCTCCTCCCTCCTCTTTACCATCCCTGTGAAGAGTGGGAGGGGCTCAGGCTTCTTCCTATGGCCCTGGGCAAGTCACTACTGGTCTATGAAGACAGCCGTGATGGGAGTCACATCCTATGGCTGTATGGTCACATCATTAGGTCATATTTGTACAAGGGTGACCAGAATTCTGGGGTCCCCGCTGCCTGCCACTGCTAGTGCCAGTGAGCAGACACAGGAATTAAGTCTTCAAGTTGCACTGTATTGGGAGGGGGCAGGGGAAACTTGTGACCCAAGAAGGTGGCAGGTACATTGTAGGAGAAATAAAGCACTTTGTATCCCATCTCCAGCCAGTAGGTCACACAGGAACAGGAAGCAACACTTAGAGCTGAGTGTTATCCCTCTGGTCTGGTGATCAGCTGAGTCCCTGAGAGCCATGGTGTCTTGCCTCTCTTATATCTACAACTTCTTCCTCTGGCTTACCTTTTTATTGTCCCCCCCACACACACTGGTCTAGCCTCAGCCAATCTTGGTTGTTCAGCCCCAACTGTGGTCTCCAAGGCTAGACCTTGACCACATGCCTTTTCTTCTCAATTTTTAAAAATTTTTATTTTATGTGCATTGGTGTTTTGCCATGGGTGTTAAGTCCCCTGGAACTGGAATTACAGACAGATGTGAGCTGCCATGTGGGTGCTGGGAATTGAACCTGGGTCGTCTGGAAGAGCTGTCGGTGCTCTTAACCACTGAGCCATCTCTTGAGCCCCCACATCCCTTTTCTTGTTGGTGCCTGCTGAAGGGGCTTCAAGGAGAGAGCAGAGGGTTCAGACACTCCCAGCAATGCTGACTTTGGTTAGTGTTTGCCAGAATCAATCCAGAACCCCTCCAAATGCCACCTGGGCTGGGGCTTAACTCAAACACTTAATGGTGTATATGAGTTATTCCTACCACATGAACTATAACTGTCCTGTCCTTATGGAATAAAACAGTGGCATACCCATGCTCCCTGTCCCCTGCCAGGTATACTTAGCCACAATGGAAATGTGGTGTTCCCTGGCTGAGAAAGACCAGGCAGCACAGATCCAGCTTTGGTCCCCACTTCTGAAAGTGCTGCCTTGGGCCTTCAGGAAAGAGCCAATCTAGACACTGACTGGCCTGGTCTGCACTAGGCCTTTAGCAAAGCTTCTCCAAGCCTCTGTGTCCTCACCTGTCAAATGAGGCTGTGAATAGTTCATTCCCTGGCAAGGTGACAACAGCTTTTGAGGGCTCATGTCCAGTTCCCGTGAGTGCCCAGGGCACAGCCAAGTCCTGTAAATGGCAGATATAGCTGTCACCTGTTTCACCCTGGGCTTCCTAGAAGCAGACCCCCAAGACAAAGGGAAAGTCTGGGTTGTGTTTTTGAAAAATGATCCCAGGAAGTATAGAGGGGAGTGGGGAGCAAGAGGGAAAGAGAGGGCAATCTATACAGGGCTTGAGATGGCCAGCTGCATCCACAGTGGCTGCAGTTCAAGTCTTTGAGGAAAGTGAGCCCTGTAGAGCACCCCTTAGCAGACCCCTCCCTCTGTCTCTGTGTTCCCGTTGTAAAAGTCTCTACATTTCTTTTATTGCCTGTAGGACTAAATAACTAGTAGAACTGCTTAAAATGGAGGAAATGTTCATTTTGGCAGGTAGTATTAAGCCTGTCTTTATATGACAGAGCTGAGCAGTTCATGTCTTGGGACCAAGAAGAAAAATGGATGAGAAAACTTGCTCTTAGCTTGTCTCAGCTTCCTTTCTACTGCTGTGATAAAACAGCGTGACTAAAAATAACTTGGGCAGCCAGGCGTTGGTGTCACACGCCTTTAATCCCAGCACTCGGGAGGCAGAGGCAGGCGGATCTCTGTGAGTTCAAGGCCAGCCTGGTCTCCAGAGCCAGTGCCAGGATATGCTCCAAAGCTACACAGGGAAACTCTCATAAAACCAAAAAAATACTAATAACTTGGGGGAGAAATGGGTTTATCTGGCTTACACAGTCCATCATGAAGGGCAGTCAGGGCAGGAGTCCAAGGTAAGAACTAGGAGGCAGAAACTATGGAGGAGCACTGCTTACTTGCATGCTCCCTGTAGCTTGCTCAGGTAGTTTCTTATACACCCCAGTATCACCATCCCTAGACTGTTCATACCTAATATAGTGCAAACACCATTGGCAATAGCCAGACTGTATTCATATTTTCAATCATAAATTGGTTAAACCCGTGGGTATGGAGCCCTTAGATACAGAGGTCTGTGTATATGGAAGGCCCTGCCCATACCATCATAGTAATTCTTAGACCCTGAGAGGTCATATTTGAGCCTTTGGATGCTTTGTCTGATAAGAGCTTTTGTTAACCTTTGAGGATTGGACCATGCCATGCAATCTGATGTGGGACCTGTGACAGGGACTTTTGGTCACATGGCAGCTCATCCTCCCCAGGCTTTGAGGACTAAGCCAGAATGCTGGCAGTAAAGGCATGTACCACCACTGCCCAGTTACATGTTTTTTTGTCTGTTTTTTGCCCAGGCTGGTCTCCAACTCCCAGCAATATCACTGACACTCATGCCTCAGCTTCCAAAAGGACTAGAGTTACAGGTATGAGCCACCACACATGGGTCTACATGCTTAAAAATAATGTTTAAGTCTTGTGCCTCAGGGTTTCTACTGCTGTGAAGAGATACCATGACCAGCACAATTCTTATAAAAGAAAGCATTTAATTGGGATGGCTCACATACAGGCCAGAGGTTCAGTCCATTATCATCATGGAGGGGACATGGTGGCATGCAGGCAGATATGGTGCTGGACAAGGAGCTGAGTATCCTACATCTTTTAGGCAACAGGAAATGGTCTGAAACACTGGGTGCTATCTTGAGCAAAAGATACCAAGCAAAAGGTGGTATCAAAGCCTGTCCCCACAGTGACACCCTTCCTCCAACAAGGCCACACCTACTTCAACAAAGCCACACTTCCTAAAAGTGCCACTCCCTTTGGGGGCATTTTCTTTCAAACCACCATACCTTGAAACTTTTTTTCCACATGTAGTAATAGTTGTAGGGTCAAAATCCACCAAGTATTCACTGAGGGAAGGGGGACTAGAGAAGTCTTCAGGTCAGCCTTCCTCCCACAGAGAGTATTGGTAATTTACTAGCTGGGGCTGCACTGAGCTATAGAATGGAGAGAATTTTCATAACAGTTTCTATTGCTCTTCTGCAGTGACTATAACTCAGATGGTGGTAGGGTCCAACCTGGTGCACCTTCCTTAGGAAAAGACTCCTACCTGTGTGGCCACACATTCCTAGCTTGTGGGTACTCTTTGGTATTAATGAGAAACATCTGAACTCTGGAGAACTCAAATCCCTCAGAGAAACGCCTCCAACACAAGTCTCCCCACAATAACAACCCCAGGCTAGGTCTGTAGCTCAGTTGGTCGAGTGCTTCCCTGGCATGCATGAAGCCTTTGGTTCAATCCCAGCACCACATAAAACTGGGCATGGCCATGCATGTCTGTAATCCCAGCACATGGGAGGTGGAGGCAGGGTTCATCCGTGGCTACTTAGGGAGTTTGCAGCCAGCCTACGTGAGGCCCTGTCAAAAGAACAAAACAAAGAAGCCACCGTCCCCAAGCTGTGCCCAGACTGCTTTTACTGCCTTCTTTCCTGCCACCTCCCAGGAGCCATCCACCTTGCCCTCTGTTCTCAAGGTCTAGCCTCCTCTGCCTCCTATGTGTACCCCCCTGAGGCATCAAGCCCCTTCCCTCTTCTTCCCTGCCTCCTCCCAAAAGACACCAGCCTCTAAGACCCAAAACTGTCTGTCTTGGTTTGCTTTCTCTTGCTAGAATGAACACCATGACCAAAAGTAACTTGGGGAGGAAAGGGTTCATTTTAGCTTGCAGGTGATAGCCCATGATTTAGGGAAACCAAGGCAGGGACCTCAGAAGAACAATGCTTTCTGGTTTGCTCCCAGGCTCACTGTTCGAAAT